AAGATTACAACATCGATCAACAAGAGTGTGCTTTTAAGTATTCAAGAAAAATTATTTGATCAACAGAAGCTCATTATGAGGGGAACGTGCTTTGCCCATTTTCTCGACTGCCATGAAATTGTGGTACAACCGTAATTAATTCATTACTTCCTCTTGTGGCAAGTCCATCAACCTAACCTGAAGAGATGTAGGTTTTAGTTGTTGCGCGTTATGTTAGATTCTCTATATCTGAGTTTTGTATAGTCACGAAACTAAGATGTTTTGGTGATAGTGACACGGGCATTTTTGAAAGTAGGCAGTCACAACTGAAGAAAAAGTACTTTTCTCATGTGGATACCGTGACACATGATGTGAAGTCCACATTTATATCTGCTTGCCAAATGCCGGATCTGGATCTTGTTGAAATTGTCTCGGATCATGATGTTGCACTCATTGTATCCTGCACTTCATTACTACCTACTCATTTCCTAAAGATTATAAGAAAGTGGTCGACCATTACTTGTTCACGCTTGTTGAGGACTTCCCTGCGCTAACCAGTTTCCCATGGGGAAAGTTACTGTTTGAGATCACTTTGAGTTCTTTGAAAGATGCTTTGAGTCGGCAAACCGCACATTATAGGCTACGAGGTATGTTGGTAGCCTTTCAAGCTTGGATCTACGAAACCTTCCCTGACCTAGATAAAGTTATTGTCACAAGAGTATTGATGATGCACCCTCAAATCAAAAACTATAATGCAAATGAGCAACGTTCTGCATTTAAGTTGGAGGAGCCGAGCTGCTTCAACAAGCCTAATGTAATGTTTCAGTAATTCCTATTCTACTGATAGTGGAAGATATGGTAAGATTATTGTTCTCTAATCTTTACTGTAATGTAATGCAGATTGAAAAATGTGACTTGGTACCTGCTGAGGCTGAAATGGCAATGTCATACATGGATGGTGTGCATCGTAACAAACTAATTCAACCAGAATTTTCCCAGGGCAGTCACCGAAAGGAAAGCAGGAAGGGAAAGTCCGTTGACCCTGTACACATGAGTGAAGAATCAGTGCCTTTGGTAACGGACATTGGTGTTAGACAAGCTCACATTTCAGATGATGATGATGATTTCGTGGATCCTCCTTGACGATGTGAGGTGGAATCCCATCAGGAAATACCTGGTGCTGATCAAGGCCCTTCAAGTCCCCAACAGTAATTAATCAAGCTAGGAAGTCATATGCGGCTGCACTTTCCGGTAAATCTGTAGTCTCTCAAGCTGAACGCAGCCAACGGAAGTCTTTTACACAGGTTTTGCAAGCCCCACCGGACTCCAATGACCACAGGTTCACCTCTAAGGAACCTTTCATGCATATGGGAGAGCCGGCA